TAAAAAGCCACACGATGGTTACTCTGGGTTAAAATGATCTGACCCATCTTTAAAGTGTTACCAAATCGACAGTATTAGTTGCAATGATTTAAAAAAAATACAGTATATAATTTCATCCTTTAAGAAAATGGAACAGTGGCATTTTTATGAAAAATTTAATTTTAACACCAAAAAAAAATCGTAAACATGTATTAGAATTTAGCGTGAAAGACAATGCTCGGGTCATTTTGATCCAGGGTGACCATGAAGGGTTACGCGGTACCCACTTCTGAAATTCTTACAATTAGTCCTATTGCTCGTGGACGAGGTGGTGACTTCTCTCATATGCCTGTGGTGCGCACGCTACTTATACATAAGCTACGTTTACACCGTGCGCTTAGTCCGCGACCTATACGATAGGTGTCTTTGTTTAATATACAGGATAACAAGGACGTCTATTGTATAGGCCGCGGCCTAAATGCACGGTGTAAACGTAGCCACAGTCACATGGGACCTACAGTTTAACGTCAATTCCGAACGACGAAATTTTGTTAGAGAAGTTCTTGGCAAAGACAGATACTCTTGGTTGCTGCTTCCTTCCGAGAGGAGACACGAGTGTATGAAAATATTTTGGTTCTACCGGGAATCGAATCCAGGGTTTCTAGCATAGCACAGACCAGTGTGCTGTCTGCTTTGCCACGCTCGCTCTCTATGCTCTCTATTACTTACGCGGTCGGCGTGGTACAGCGTACAACTGCTTCCAAATGCAATGTGCGTTAGCGGAAACAAAGAATCGCGCTGCGATTCTTGACAGCGCGCTCGAGAACACGGACTCCTCTCTGCATGGATGCGCCACGATTCTAATTATCTAAGCCTGTCATGGCCACAAACACAACTGGTGCAACGAGCACAATGGGCTCAATATCCGGTCGAAGAAATCGCGACGCGCGATCGTCCCGAGGACATACGATGTGCCAATGTCTTTGACAGATCTTGAGATATATATATATATATATATATACTTATACTTATTACTATAATTTTAAGCTATAATAATGTAACCGAATTTTGAAGTCATATAAAAATTAGTTAAATTTCGAAACAATAATCTTAAGGAGATCCTCGCGTTTGATGAAATATAAGACAAGTCTATAATATACATGTAATGCAAAAGTTAATAATATTAATAATATCTAGAAAAAATTTCACTGACTTTTACCGTACCATTTTGAAGATACTTAATTCTAAATGTAGAGAATTTTACATTACAAGTTGAAGATATAATAGATAACCTTATTCTATAATTATTCTCTTTTAAATTGAGACACTTGCGTATAAGACAACAATTTAAAAATCGTTATAATTACAAAGTAAACACTTAAATTTGTTCTCGTAAAGTTTTATTTAAACTGATTGTACAGTTTACAAGAAATTGATATTCTTTAATGAAAAAAGCTAGAATATATGTCAAGTAGAAGATACGTATACATCAAATGAGCATCTTATAACTTTTATTTTATCATTTTGAAAATATTTAATAACATATAAAATTAACAATAATTATGTATAATGGCATAAGATATTGTTATTAATCTTTTTATTGCATTATTTTAATTGTTTTACATATTATTATGAATAAATTGTCTAAGAAATAGCGCGAGAACCTCCTTAGTTATTTCAATTTTGAAACAGCAAATTGCGGTCATCACAACAAATTTAAAAAAAAAATGAAAACTGAGTAATGAAGCAATTTCAGAAAATTACGTAAATAGAACTGGAATGTGTTAACTTAATGTCTATCACTAGCAAAGAATTTTTATAGACATTCAATATCTCCTGCTTGGGCGAGATCTATTTTTAAAAGTGGTATCACACTATAAACCACACATTTTTAGAAAATTAAAGATAAAATAGAAATACGATAATTATCTTCTGCTTATTAATAATAGTCATAAATTAAATCAGCGTTTTTCTTGTTTGAAGAAAAGAGTTTCTATACTGAAAAAAAAGATTGGCTG